AAGAACTGTCCTATTCTCATAAAACTTCGTGAAGAAAACCAAGATAAAATAGATAGAAGTATCTCATACAAACTATCTAACATTGGATTAAAGAGGAATACAGATGATATGCTCAGCATACTAAAACCTATTATCCATAGCCTTAAAGAAACTTCACAGAAGTTGCTGCTCATTATTGATATTGTCAAAATTTGGAAGGTACTTCAAAAGACATTGACAAAAGAAATATCTCACTAGAAAGTTAAACTGCAGGTAATAAAGAATCAAATGGATCGAGCACTAACGCCACCTAATTTTGTTATGAACATTCTAGACCCTAGATATAAAAAGTAGATGCCTAACTTTTAAGATGCTGCTGCCACGGAATGGGCATCTCAAAATCACTCCTCAGTTATGCCAATCATAATAAATTTCAGGGTTGGAAGAAAACCATTTAGTCAGTACATGTTTACTGGTGATGTTTTGGACAAACTCGCTCCCCTGAATTTGTGGAGATCATTAGCTTGACACCTTGAAACAGAGTTTCCTTCAGTTGCTAAGCCAACTTTTCACAGCATTAACTTCCTCTGCAAGCACACACAGAATATTTTCGTCATTTGGTATTATTCATTCAAAGCTACGAAATTGACTGGGAGTTGAAAAAGCAAGAAAGCTCATATTTCTTTTTCAGTCTATGAGAAAAAATGACAGTGGGAATGAGGAAGATGAGCTAGTTATAGAAATTTTAAGGACACTGTATATTGAGCGTTGTGATGACTTTGTTAGAGTTAATACTATTTGAAAATTAAAAATAACAGTTTAAGGACAGCCAGCAGCTCAGGAGGTTGCTGCAGTTACCAATGTGATACGTTTATGTAACATTTAAGATTAGTTTAATAAATATAAGTGCTGTTCTGTTGATGTATGTGATTTAGTTCATTCCTAATGTTCTGCTGCTGCTGCATTAAATTAATATAAGTTATCTAAAAAATTACACAAGGGACATCCTCCTATCCAACATGTTTTAGTGATCAGATTTGCACCATTATTTAAGAAATATGTGAAGTACCACCACTGGGAAACTTGACTTAAATCAGTAATTTTCTTTTGGGGTTGAGCTACACAGCAGTGTTATTTCAGAATAACTGTCATTATTCCAAAATAACAAGGAGTGAATCTACACTACAAGCCTTTATTTCAGAATAATGTTGAGTTGGAGGACTTCTTACTCCAACTGCTGTAACCCTCATTTTATGAGGAGTAAGGGAAGTTGAAGGAGGAGTGTTCTTCCTTTGGCTTCCTGCTGTGTAGACAGCACCTAAAGCCAAGTTAAGCTATTTTGACTTAAGCTACACAATTGGCATAGTTGAAGTTGCGTAGCTTAATTTGACTTTAGCCCTGGTGTGTAGATGTACCCTTGCTCGTGTGTAGACGTACCCTTGCTGATTTAAAATGCCTTGATTTAAGTCAATTCACCCTGCTTAAACCTTGAGATTTGAGACTTACAATTATTCTGATTTAAGGTGTTTCAAAACCATAATCCTAGTAATTTGTGATTTGGAGTCTGCTGAAGAGGTATATGTGAGTATCTTTTGCTGTGGGTCTTGAAATTTTGCAATTTGAGGCATAGATTTGACAACTGGAACTTTGAGTAAAGCCCTGTCTCCTACACAGTTCAAGTTGCCAATATAGCCTTTAGATTATCAGATTTTCTGCAAAGTTCACTTCCTGACCACATAACATGAGCACCATGTGTCGCGAGGAATAACAAATTGCCTTTCATCAAGTATATAATTATGTTGTTTTCTTTGTAAAAAATTCAATTTTGGTTATCCTAAAATCAATTTAAAGATTTTTAGGTGACATTTCTTTTTAAAAAATGGTTTCATCATTACCTTTCTTTAGTTTATGTGCTGTTTCTCAGTCATTGTTCCTAGCAGTGTGCAGACCAAAGGAATTTTATAGAAAAAGCTCAAGGGACTGGAGACTTACTTTTTAGCAAAGGTCAAAGCAAATTAAAAGCTGCACTTAAGTTCAACAAATGTTAGTGGTTAATTAACTAAGAACATTTAACCCTGAGGTCATAACATTAGTATTTATAGTTTTAAGTAAGATATTCTAAACAAGTCTTCTTAATTGTAAGCTAATTAAATAGCACAACTGCTTAGTGGCTTGAATACAAGGTACTGTTTCCTGGAAAAGCATTTTATTGAATTCATGTGTATAAGTGTTTGAATGACTGGCCCTTGCTGTGATCAATTTAATTGATCAGCTTATTCCTTTAACTAACAAAATGTATGGTTTTAAAATTATATTTTTCTTCTTTACGTGGTTGTCCCCAGCCTATTAAATTTAAGTGGTCATCCCCAGACTATCCCTCACCTCACTCACCCTGGTAATCATGGCCTTTGGGTGCCTTTTATATATTTGAGGCCAAATTTTGCCTAATTTACCTTTGTTGTTAGTTCTGCTCACTGTTCACATATAAGTTCAGTAGTATTTGGCTCATCATACTTGGTTTTAGGTGCTCTTGTTTCAATTAGTGGCCACAGTATGTTAACTTCTGCTTGTTATGTATATTTTAATATGTTTAGAAAATGTTCTAAAATAATTATTTTACAATACAAAAGTTAAAGGCTCTAATTCAATCTCCACTGAAATAAATGGAATACTCCTATTGATTATAATGGGCTTAGAATCAGACCTGTGGAACTTGATGGATCTTTCTCTTGCTCAGAAACCTTAAGCTTTAGGATATGAAGGAAATTTAGCCTATCAGGAACTAAATATTATCTCCTTCTGTGATTTGCATAAGTACAAAATGTCAGTGAATTTCTTTGTTGTATCAGATGTAGCTTACTTGATATTTACAACTTGTGCCTCTAGAAAAAATGTTTTAGGCTACAAGACCTGTTCCAACTGGAGTTGCTCCAGCTGGCAATCCTGTTTTCATTTTCCCCTGCTTTAACTGTTCATTTTAGCCAACCAACTAATAAAGAACAGAGAATTTAAATGTGTTGTCTTGTCTAATAAGATCATATGCTCTTCTTGGCGAAGATTGCCTCATACTATTGTTTGTCCATTGCATGATGGCCCCTCAATATTGATTAGGGCCTCTGTGTATTACTGTAATATAAACAGATAATGAACATGATAAATCACTTTTAAATCTGTAAAGCATTTACAAGTATGAAATACATATAATTCTGATATAAAAAACCCTTGTTAAGGCTAAATATAAAATCATAGAAATGTAGCTCTGGAAGGGTACGTCTACACAGCAGGGCTAAACTCAAAATAAGCTACGCAACTTGAACTACGCTAATTATGTAGCTTAAATTGTAATAGCATATTTCGACATTTGGCACTGTCTACACAGCAGTTATTTTGAAATAAAATACCTCCCAACTTTCCTTACTCCTCATGCAATCAGGGTTATAAGAATCGGAGTAAGATGTGTAGATGCGCACTACGTTATTAACTCTGCTGTGTAGACATAGCTGTAGAGACTTTGAGAGATCTTCTAGTCCTTGTGCATGTGCTAAGGCAGGGCTAAGTATACCGAGTCCAGATTTCTGAACTAGTGGTATGAGCACCCTTAGGGGTACTTGAGAGAAGTATGGTGGGTGTGTCAACACAATTGAAATTTGGAGAAGACTGAATTTTTGTGTTAAGTTTTACAGCGCTTTATTATTTTTGTACTTTTTATACCCAAAAATTTCATTGCCCACCCAGCTATAATTAAGTTGTTGAAACAAATGTGTTGCAATGGTAGGAAAAAATTTTGTTTGAGAGAAAACTGTAGGTATTGAGGGTACTTATAATTTTTTTAAAGGGGTACTGTATAAAAAAAGGTTGAGAAACACCGAGCTAGTCCATCCGAAGTGTTTATCTAACCTGTTGTTAGAAACTTTCAATGACGGAGATTCTACATCTTCACTTGGTAACTTATTCCAGTGTTTAACTATCTTTATAATTAGAACACTTTTCCTACTATCTAACCTAAATCTTCCTTGCTGAAGATTAAGCTGATTACTCTTTATCCTACCTTCAGTGGACACAGGGGCATGCACAGATCAGGAAAAGGGGTCAAGCAAGGACACCCCCCTCCAATAATAGTCAGGGGGAGGGGTACAGAACTCCTCCCAGCCGTAGGACCATGGGTAGTGGAAGAAGGCGGAAGAAAGCAAGCTCTTCCTGGGGGGTCTTCTGGTATCCTGTTATACCTGCTCTTTGGTTATTCTTTGATCCCTCTAGGCATGAATCCCAACTCCTTTCATAAGCATTGATTAGAGTTAAATATTTAAAAAAGGTAATCTGATTTAGTTGTAAGCAAACTCTGAACATGCCGAAAACTTGTCTGTTTGGGCCCGGTGGTCATACAGATGGACAAAATCCATCTTACCCTTCCTGCACCTATTCACCCTCTCTTGATTACCACAATGGGGAATTTCTCTTTTGTGGATTATAGCTCCAGCTTGGCATTTTCCTCCTGGTTTTGATATCTGTCCTGGAAGTTATTTTTACTAAGAAAACAGAACTAAGGTTCCATAAAAATTCCTCTGTGTAACTGCCGTGGCACTCTTCTGTTTTTCCCTTTATATTTAGGAATGAAATTTTTCTTTTTAGTTGTTCTTCCTGGTCATTAGGACTGAGGAACTGGGTTCAGCCTCAAAAGAGACTTGCATTTTCTTGGCCCTGTGTGTATGTATGACTGCTCATAGCTTAGTAGTTTTGAGCCTTATTAGATGCAGCTTTCAGTCACACATTATTTTAGTTCAGAAGACCCCAGTATCTTCTCTCTTTCATCTGAAAGCTAGGGGCAGGAGATAGGATAGCATTTGCTGTGTTCACATTGCCTGCCTGACAGGTTGAAGACAATGTAATTCAGCATAGATTTCCATGTGAGCCTTTTCTTTTTGTGTGCAATGCCAAATTTGAACACCTAAAATCAAAATGTTTTTGTAAACTCAGAGAAAGTTCTATTTTTTTCACTATGTTTTCCCATTGTTTGTTTGTAGGTGCTGCCATCAGTCAGCAAGAACAGTGGAATGCTTAATATCACCTTTAAATATGACAGTAAGTTAATCACCCACAACAGATACAAATCTCATCTTCTCAAAAATAAAAATCCTGATTCTTATACTTATATAACAACATGATTTTTTAAAATAAAAAACCAAACTATAATTCTAGCAATACTTGTAAGTTTGTGAACTTCAGGTTTATGTAACTGCAATCTTCCCCACATTTCTACTGACTGTCATGCATTCTGAGTGCATCCTCTCTGTCATTCAAAAGTAAACTTGCATACAGTTTGCTGGAGGCAGCAGCTACCAAAAAGAGGCAGCCACTCATTCCCACAGACTAAAACTTATGCCATGTAAAGCAGGGTTCCATTATGCCAAATTTTACATTGCTTAATTTTTCTTTAATCTCTATGAAAGGATGACATATTTACACTCTAAAATGAGTATTGATTTAAGGATTGAAAATTAGTATTGATTTTAAAAGGAACCTGTAAGGCTACAGTTTTAAAAGTTTTTCCTTCCATAGTATATGTACTACAGGCAGTCCCCGACTTACACGGATCCGACTTATGTCGGATCCGCAGTTACGAATGGGGCTCGCGGTCCCGCCGCCCGTGTACTCCGGGCGAGAAAAGCTGCTCCGCAGACCAGGAAGATGCGGAGCAAAGCCCCGGAGGGGCTCGGGCAGCGGGGCATCCCAGGCGCGCCTGGGCTGCCTGAG